AAAACAAAATATATATATATATATATATATATATATATATATATATATAAGTTTTTAGTCCCTTAATTTTTCTAATTATTTTGTTATTTCTCTCTTTTTCAATATTGAATTGAGAAATGGAATTCATGGTTTAATTTTTTTTATAGGATTATCACAAGATCAAATAAATATATTTTTTAGGTTAGGTATTCAATTTTACAAGTATCTAATTTTATCATAAAATTAAATAAAAATAATTTATAAAAACAACAAAGTTATTAAACCCATTTAAGTTCGTGATCTAGGTCATAAGATGACCAATGTCGATTTAATTAGACATCGTTCAATATTAAAAAAAAAGTTATTTATTTTTTAATAAATATATATATATATATATATATATTATGTTTTTATTGGTTATTCAAATTGTTTCTGGACCTATTAAATTAAAAAATTCACTTGAGATCAATTTTTTCTTGAATTAATTCAAAAATCAAGCTAAACAAGAAGCTGAGCTGCTATGTTTTAAAATTAAATTATTTAATTGGATTTAATAATATTATTAAAAAATTTCTATACTCTAATTATTTTTTTTAAAGTTTTTTAAAAAATCAATTTAACTTATTATAGAACGCTGTTAAATGTACTAGTTAGTATAACAATATAAGTGGTTTATTTTTTAATATGTTCAATTAACTTGAGATTAGTATTTTATTTTTGTATTTTAGTAACTAAAGAAACTTCATAAATGTTTTTTATATTAAAATTAAATCATAATTATTAAACTTAGTTACATACACGGATAACCATGGATTTACCTAGAATCTAGTTAATTTAGGGTTTAGTCCAAACTAGATTTTCTAATAAATTAATAAAATTGACCTCATTAAAAATCCATTAAAATTTAAAATTTTAATTTTTTAAAACTGCATTGTTTTCACCATTTTTTAAAATTTGTTCAATCTGTCAAAGCCTTGCCCCGTGTGGAGTTTAATAAATATGGATTGAACTAGCTTTTGTTTTTTGTTTGGGAAAAAGAGAGTTAATCACACCCAATGGGTTTTACTGGCCAAGCCCAAAGACTCCATTTAAAACCCCCGAAACCGAAGTGAACTAGGAACAAGAAAGCCCTTCGATTTCAGGCATAGGGTCTGTAAGAAACGAGGAAGGCAAGTCATGGCTCCGAGGGAGCAGTAAAGTTACTTTTAAATTATCTAACAAAGACAACAGAGATGTTTACAAATAATCAAAGACAAGAAGAAAGAACCGGAAAATATGGAACCCCAAGGCTCCAATACCTTCAGGTATTCTTTCTTTCCTTGAAAGGCTCTTCTGTATATCTTCTTCTTTTTTGTTTTTTCTTGTTTGCTTTAGTTTAATTGTTTGTATCGTAAAATAATAATTATCCAGCAAATCAAATGACCATTTTTTTTTTGATTTACAGGAGTTGGTGAACCAGTTTCAGAATGCAGCTGATGAAGGTACTTTTAAATTTTGCTCGTGGTGTCTTGTTTAATATGGTTAGGTCAATCTATATATATGTCTTGTAACTTGTAAGCACTTCATTGAAGGCTTAGCTCCCTTAATCACTGATTAATCCCTTAGCTTGATCAGATTATTAGAGTTCATGCTTTTTCCCTGATTTCATTGTGTTGTTGGCTAGGAATTTTCTTTCCTAATAACCCTTGTTGATTCCGATTATTAGAGTTCATGCTTTTTACCTGATTTCATTGTGTTGTTGGCTAGGAATTTACTTTCCTAATAACCCTTGTTGATTTCGAGAATCTTCCATTACATGATTGAATTATAATATGCAAAGCTAGCCCGTCCTCAAATACTAAACTGATTTCTATGTTCTACATGGCTGTAGAATGCAGTTCACGATATCATTCTGTTTGTAGCTATTACGCACCCTAACTTTATTATCTGTGTTTTGCATTTACCCTTTGTTTTGGTATGAAATGGGAGTCTTTGGCTGTGGCAATATTTCCGCTGTCAAGAGGAATGTTGCACAATCTAGATTCACTGGATATCTGTGCAATATGCAGCCCAAGCAAATATAGAAACTTGGGTGGCAGCAGAGGACGTGCTTCTTTCTCTATGCTTTTTTTTTTTTTTGGGTGTTGTGAATGTTGCTTTTGTGTCTGGTATGGGAGTGAAAGTGGAGTGTCAATTTATAACATTGTGAGGAGGTGTAGGGGATTATGAGGGTGGAGACCATGCTTGAAATGTGTCTGTTTGTAATGGTAGCCAAGTTCAAATACTGTCTGTATTTTTGCAAATGTCACTTCACACAATGTCTTGTAATGTGACTAAACTATTGAAAACTAACCTTGCCTATACAACCTCTATTGACCGTATTTTTGTTCTTGTTGTTGCAGAAAGAAAAGAGAGGATAGTTGCTAACTTGGCAAACTTTGCTTATGATCCTTATAACTATACATTCTTGCGCCAGGTTAATACTTTTGATTTTGGTTTTAGAAATATCTGGTTATAATTATAAACCAAGGTATATTTCATATAATTCTTCCATGTCACAACTTTTGAATGTGATCTAAACAGCTAAATGTTTTGGAGCTGTTCCTTGATTGCATAACAGAACCAAATGAGAAGCTTGTGGAATTTGGGATTGGAGGAGTATGCAATTCTTGTGTGGGTAAGTCCAACAAAGTGTCCTTCTGCTAGAACTAGAAATACTGCTGACCGCAAGTATTAGGCTGCAAAGATTGTTTGCTTTGCATATTTACAGCCTCCTCTTTCATGCTATTATTTTTTTTTTTCTAAACTCTTGCGTGCAGATCCAGCAAATGCTGCTATCATCACTCAGTCCGGTGGCATACCCCTCACTATCCAATGTTTATCAAGCCCAGTAAGAAACACTGTAAGTGGAAAAGCTTGTGCTTCTTTATTGTTCCACCCCCCTGCTTCATAACTTGTTTTGCTCATCCTGGAGATGATGTGGTCCTAACTACACGACCTAAATAATTTTTTTCCCCTGTAAGAAATATGGCTGCCCTCCCCTCTTCTCTGTTTTCCTCACTCTACCATTCTCACGATGGAGTGTGCTTTTATTTTATAGCTTTGACATTTCTTTGATCTTTCAGAAAATTTTCCTTCGTTACTGGGATCAATTCTTTAGGATGCTTTGAAGCTATAGTTGACCTTGAATCTACGAACCATATTTATGCAGTTTTTTGAATGGCTTAATTTAATTAAGAGTTCTGTATGCTTGCAGGTTAATTATGCTCTTGGATCTCTTTATTATCTCTGTAACTCATCTACCAAGGAAGAGATTCTAAAGCCAGAAGTTTTAGATGTTATCAAGAGGTATGCTGCGGCTGAAACAGTAAGTGTAAGCTTCAGTAATCTGGCTAAAGCTTTCTTAGACAAGCATGTGTATGAAAACAAGTGACATTAGCATGCTTGATGTTGATATGGAAGATTTGTCCTAGTTCATTGTCCAAAATGAATACTTTCTTCAAATGAAAGTTGTCGTCATCATCATCAATTTCACAATATAGGTTTTTATCCATTTTTTCTTAGAAAAAAGAAAGTTTTGTACAGCTATCAGAGTCCTGTAATATTTTGGCATTTTCAGAAGCTAATTTGACTGCACAAGCTGATTACTGAATTTTATTGCATAAAATCTCAATACAGGCAAAGTGAAATTTAATGTTGCCAATCAATTTATGCTAAAATGCGAAAAGCTCCCTTTTCATTTGTTGTTTTTCGCAGATATTCACTGTTTCCACTTCGTTGGGTGGTGCATGAAACAATCCAGAGAGAAACAAAATACATTTGGATTAAAGTAGATACCATATAGATGAAATCTATGAATCCTGGTCATTTGAGAAAAGTTGTGCTTCTGAGCATTTGAGATTTTCAAGGGCACTCCTTCGCTAGCTTACAATGCTCAGAAATTTGGGTTTTTTCTCTCGTATATGGCTGATTAGCACCTTGCCCTGCAAATTGCAATGTGTTTAAATTTAGGCAGCAAGAAACGATCTCTCCATGGCATAAACGGTTGGGAAATCACGATATGGTTTAGAGATTTTGGGCTCAACTCAAACACAAGTTGATACTAGGCAGCAACTTCAAGTTTGTTGGCAGCTTGCAATTGTTTTTTAAATATTTTTTATGAGAAAATATATATAAATAATTTTTTTATTTTGTTAAAATTTATTTTTGATATTAACACATATTTAAAAATATCAAAAATATATTAATTTAAAATAAATAAAAAATAATTTTTTTTAATTTTTTAAAATATTCATGAAATATAGAAATAAACATGATTTTATAATAAAAGAATTTATGCAGATCGATGTTTGATGGGGCGTTCTTAAACTCGTTCGAAAAATAATAATAGTTTTGATTTGATGCAGAAGCTGGTCCGAAGACCCTCAAAAAGTTGATATTAGGCAAAACAATAATAAAAAAAAAAACCAGCCACATCAATTGAGAAATAGTTTTAAATTTATGTTTGTTTTTATTGCTTCTCAAAGATGTTAAAAATAAAAAGAAATCCGAAACAAAATAAAAGCATTTTAAAAAATAAGTTTTGAAGTATTTTTATGGAAATATTCTCATATAAATGCAAATTTAAGAGGAAAAAAATAAAATATTAATAAGACAATGTAAAAGAAAAGTGAGTTTTCTCAGTTTTAATGGTGGCTAGTCAATTATCCATGCATTGAGTGGTATATTATTAAAAATAAAATGACTAAAAACAATAATATTTTATTTACTTTAAAATAGATTATAAGATAATTTGAATTAGGTTCCTAAGAATAAGAATAAACCCTCCATGCTAAAGTTTAAAAAGTGTAAGTACAACTAAATATTGCTCGTTTAGTTTATATGTGTGTGTGTGTGTGTGTATATTATCAACAAAAAGAAAAAGAAATAAAATAACGTGCCATCTTCTATGGTAGCATTATAAAAAGAATCCCAAATTAAGAAAATAAAATATAGGGGCTCAAGTTGAATATTAGTAAATTTATAAGGGTTAAAGTGAAGTCTAACCATGGAGATCAGAAAAAAACAAAGGAAACCAAAGAGACGGCAGAAGCGTAACGTTACAGCTCAGGCCTTTTTTAAGATTAGAGGTTGGCAGTCAATGCCCATAAATGTAATTAAATTAAAAAAATCACCCTAAATTCCCCAAACTTCCATTCCTTATTCCGGCCCAACTCTGCTCAGCCTCCATCACCACTCCTTTTGTTTTAAACAATATTTTCTATTTAACAACGTTGTCTTTTTCTTGTTTATCCTCAAGAGAAAAGAAGAGAGAGATTCTTACAACATGAAAAAGAAACTCGACACTCGTTTCCCTGCCGTAAGTTCTTTCTTTGGTGCTGTCTTCATGTTTTGTTTTTTTTCGTAAAAAAATTGTGGATTGTCTTTGTTTTTTGTTTTTTTTTGTTTTTCTACTGGCCTCTTCATGGTTAGCAATTTTGTTAGTGTTTTCCCCCCCTTTTTTATGGTTGGTACTAACATGGGGTAGAGAACTGTTGATATTTAAAGCAGTGTATAATCTTTATTGAGTTTTAGATTTGGATTTTTTCCATAATATTTCATGCCCTTTACTTTTTTTTTACATGGACTACTGAATTCGTGGCCCATCTGGGGCAGCTTGTTGGATACTTTGCGTTTTTATCTAATTTACGTGGCTGAAATAGCAAAAAAATAAGTGGACCAACAAGTGTTTTTGTTTGGTTAAATTTGAGGTAGGACCAGTTTGATTATGGTTAATGAATTGCCTTATGTAGGGCACTGTCTAATATGTATTGACTTCTAGAGCTTGTGCTTTATGGGGTTTCCTAGGGATTATTGATTGGAAGACAGATGGAAACATCTTGTTTTTGTAATTTTTGGTTGTCGATGTGACTTTGCTGTAATAGGAATGAACTCAGCTCTTTTTAGAAGTGATGTTTTCCTTTTGTTTTAGTCTTACTACCTGTTAAGTTATTGTTTTGTTCTATGCACGTGATGTATGATAGATGTATGGTAGTTTGGTTCTGTGAAACGTAAGCCATTTTTCAATATGGAGTAGAAAGTTTAGTCTTTAAACTCAACTAGTAATAGGAGTGTGCATAATTGAGTGGAAACTGAAACCTAGCCACATAGATGTGATAACCCATTAGACAGAATAACATAGCTGCAAAAAAATTGTTTATTGCTGGTGTGTGCGCAAACACTTGCCGTCATGCGCAAATTAAAGAGTTTTTAGTTTTACGCCATTGTTGGATATCAAATTTGTTATGTGCTGAATGGTGGATATGAAGTTATCAACTCTTTTTATCAATTTCTAACCTTTTCTCTTCTTTATTTGTCAGTCCCCCTTCCTTATTAATCGCAAATTTTCCTTAGCTTACTGTGTATTTGAGATTCCTCTCTGTCTCAGCTTGTTCTCTCTTTCCTTGAATGTGACCCCACGATTTTTTTTTTAAGAAGATTTGTGCTCAAGAGCATTATTTTGAAACATCAATGGGTAGTTCAATTCCAAAAGAGCAAAAAACTGTTCTCAATTGCATACTTGGAGTAGGAATTGGAAGTTTCGTCCAAAGAGTAACCCCTTCCTTTCTGTCCCCCTTTATCTTGCCCTGTTTCTGATGCCATCATTTTTCCCTTTGTAAAAAGCCTATCCATGTTTCTGATGCCATCATTTTTCCCTTTGTTCCGAAGGCGCCTGGCATCTGACAGTGGTACAAGAGGTATTACCACACAGAAAGCAGGGTAATGCCTTGTTATGACTTCTTTTCTGCAACAATTTGTTGGCACTAATTTGTTAGATCAGACTAAAACTTTAACTTTAGTGGGTAAAGCATCCTTCTGTAGCCTTCCCATTTATGTACAACACTGTAGTGCTTTGCCATGCTGAAAGAGATTTTATCGAACCTTGACATTTTAGATTGGTTGTTTTTTCTGGTATGACCATTTTGATTGGTTCAATTTACCATCCTTCAAAAAATTGATTGATTGAACCTACTCAGCTTTCCGCTGTAATTAAATTCTTTTTGGTATTGATCACTTGACATGCAAATTGTAAATCTTACCTTTCTTGTGCATAGCAGGATAGCATTTTGGTAGGTAATCTTGAATGTGTTAATTAATTTTGTTCTTGTGCTTTTATCACAGCAAAGAAATTTAAATAATTTTCTTTTTACAATGAATTATGCCAAGGACTCTTAACTTTGGGCTTGCGTTTGTTTCAAATCGAGGAGAATCTAGTGGTTCAACTCTTTATTGGCCCCATTTAGTGCTTTGAGTTGTGAAGGAGCTATGAGCAGTTAACAGATATCACTTGAATTCTTGCATAAGATTTTTCCCTAGCATGTCCAGTGATTTTCTTTTTAAAATTTTATTTTTGGAGCATTTCATTATCTACTTTATCTGGGTTTTATTTGACAGGTTCGAATCAAGAAGATTATGCAAACTGACGAGGATGTTGGGAAGATTGCCATGGCTGTACCTCTTCTTGTTTGTAAGTAAATAGTTATGGACTCATGCTTATGCAATGAAAGGAAATTTGGCCCCTTTCTATTTTCTTCCACACCACCTTTTTCTACCTGCTCTTCATAAAGTCATCCTATGCCAATACCATGCATGGAAACCCTCTTCCCTTCCCCTCCATATATTTTCATGTGCTACATTTTTATTGTTCTACTTGTTTTTCTTTATGGTTATTTTGTTTCATTTACAGTACTAATTCAATTTGTATTGAAATGTGCAGCTAAAGCCTTGGAACTATTTTTGCAAGACCTATGTGACCGAACATATGAAATAACTCTGAAAAGGGGAGCCAAGACCTTGAATTCATTGCATTTGTAAGTAAGATTTTCATATTGTCTTTGTTGCTACAAATCTACTTATGGGTGCCAAGCGGCAGACTGTATATTATTTTCGTCCTTAGAAGTGAACCTTCCAGGCACAGTCTGAGAATATATTGAAAGCCTACTTTTACTATACAGAGCTTTGAGTTTGGGATCATGGTCAGTCTTATTCATATTGTTGGTCTGGTCCCCACCCTTAGAACAAATGAGATGTAGCTTTACACACACACACACACCACACACCCCTCTCTCTCACGCGAGCAGGGGCATGCTCACAGACATACACGCATGTACCCGGGCAAGTGCACTCACATACACACTCCTTGGACAAGCACATTAACGCTCATGTGTCCTCATGCGGGCATTAGACATTTGTATTTTCTACACCTTCTAACATCAATGAATTGAGGTGGTCTGATTTTTGCTATGAAATTTACAGGAAACAGTGCGTACAGACTTTTAATGTTTTTGATTTTCTGAGGGAAATTGTGAGCAAGGTTCCAGATCTTGGTGGTCCAGATGCCACTGGTGATGAACGTGGTGTTGCCAAAAGAAGGTTTGGAATGTCTAGTCTTATATCTTCATTTTAGTTTGGACATTAGATTGCTTGATGACTAATGACATTCCTAATGCTTCAACTTTAGGAAAGTTACTGATGATGAAGACAATGACAGTGATGAGGAGTGCAGTAGAAACAGAACAGTGAGTTTCCATGTCTTGCATTGTATAAAAATGGAGAAAGAAAACTATACAAGTATTTTGCATGAAGTTAGATATCAACATTTATATGTTATCCTTAAAGTTGGAAGTTGAATTTCATGTTACCTTGTAGTTTGAATTATTTATGCCTGGTGTCTCCAACCATGCTCTTAGTTTAAATTGTGTTAGTTTTTGTGCAACAAGTTAGATTGTATCTAATTTCATGTTACCTTGTAGTTTGAATTATATATGCCTGGTGTCTGCAACCATGCTCTTAGTTTAAATGGTGTTAGTTTTTGTGAAACAAGTTAGATTGTATCACCTGCTGCAGATTGTTTCTGCGCTCCATTGACTACAAGGCATATGCTATGGCAACTTTTAATCAATGTAGAAAATAAGCTTCTATGGATTTATTCTGCATTTTATGTTTTTTGAACAATATGTTGCACTAGAACTCAACCCTAAATTTTTGTTGACAGAATGAGACAATCCAGGCAAGCAGCAGTGGCAGAGGAAGAGGAAGAGGTAGGGGCAGAGGTAGAGGGCGTGGCCGGGGGACAAGATCCATGGAGAGGGAGACAGCTGCACAGCACGGGAAGTTTGAAGATGACCCTGACATTGGTCATCACAATGACAAGGACTGTACAAAACTTGGAAGTCTAGACAAGGATTTTGAGCCTAAAGATTCGAAGGATAATATTCCAGCTGGCAGAAATTTACAAGCTCCAGTACGTGACTTTGACCTGAATGCGGGCTTGGATGAGAATGGAGAAACACAACCAGTGCTAACTTCTGTCCCTCCAAGTTCCTCAACAAAACCTGACACTGTTGTCCCCCGAAGTTCCTTAACAAAACCTGACACTTTTGTCCCTCCAAGTTCCTTAACAAAACCTGACACTGTTGTCCCTGCAAGTTCCCCAACAAAACCAACTCCTGAATTGAAGCATGAGGAAGTGCCTGGATGGTCCCTCGAAGACATTGAAAAGATGGATATCAATCCCGTTCAACTTGCAAACTTAAATACAAGAATGGATGAGGAGGAAGATTACGATGAAGAAGACTGCAGCTACTAGCTAGTGTTTTGTTCTGCTGTATATGGCTTTTCACATCCTATAGGTCTTAGGTCCTTGCAGGAAAATATAAATCTGAAGGTAGCGATTATTGAAGCTGATGGTAGCGACTAGGGAGCTTAGGGTTAAGTGGTAGTCATCATTACAGACTAGGCAGAAATTGGTAGGATTCTGTGTCTTATTCAGAATATATTTTCTACAGCATTTGCTGAATGTAGATTACACATTAACTCCCCTAGGCATTTAGAGATCAGTCTGTTTAACCATTCTTGTATTTTAAGATGCAAAACGCTGATTATTGCTTCTTGAAGGCAGAGAAAGGCTCATACAATAGCTGGGGAATTTCTGTGGCATTTTTTCTGGCAAGGGATTAGGAATCTAGGTCCATGATAAACCATAAAGGCCCTTGTGCCAACTGCAGCCTTTGACATTGAACAGGAAGGCCACACAGAGCCTAACTTGATCCAAACCACTCACACTAAAAATCCAAGTTAAGCTTCAATTTTAGATGCATCCCTTTTTGGGACTGGTTTTTCCTCTTAGCAATTGCATTAGCTATGATGGACTGGTTTTTCCTCTTAGCAATTGCATTTGCTAAGATACTAACTTTCTAGTTGCAAAATCAAAGATACTACGAAGAGTTTTTTGGACTATATGAACTATGTTTTATTGTCATCATTGCTCATCAATTACAGATTAAGAAAATTATTTTAGTCAGAGAATTTATCTAAGATATGAGCGACATTGCGTTGCCTTGTATGCCATGAGCAATTGCAGGATGAATGAGCCGACGACTACTTTTGATCCCCATGCTTGAATTAATGTCTACAGTCCACGATATGGAGTCCGGCCTTGACTACAATGGGTTAATACTTACTATGGAGGGCTAGCGTGCATCTTGTTTCCTATCATTGTTTCTTGGATATGCTTCCTGAAACAAAAATGGTTCCAAATTATATAGTTGTATTATTGAAAGGAGTAAAAAAATAAATTGCTCCACACTTAGGGTTGATTTGGCAATCAGGTTGAAACCTAGTTAAAAATATCAAAAAGATGCTTTTGTGCATGTTACAGCAAAAACAAACAAGAACTTAGATTATATTTAATTAGCATCCTATGATAGAAAGGAAATATATAGAAGAGATAAAATTTATTTGGTTGAAGAGATAGAAATGTAGATATAAAATAAATTTATTTTAAAATCAGTTTTAAAATAAATTTATATATTTTAAAAATAAAAGGTATAATGAAATATATTTTTTCTATTATCACGATCTCCATTTTTTTTTTTATCTCAAGATAATAGCTAAATCCAAACTTATTACAACTATGGTTTTCTTGTACCTGCTTAGAGGCCATGCATAAACTATCATTCACATAAAAGATAGAAATAATGCTAAAAACTCTTCGGCCAACATCTTTGGACAGTCACTAAATAGGTGGTCTAGGCTACATCATATACCAAGTTAATGTTTTTTTTAATTTAAAAATAGAATGTTCAAACAATGCTAGTATTTTTAAATAAATGAGAAAAATTTGAGACATGGATCATTGACTTGATTAGGTTTAATAATCTCATAGCTTAATAATACAATAAAAAAACATCAATATTAAATAAAGTGAATAAAAAAAAAATTAACTTTAAAAAATAAGTTATTAATATCATATTTGAAAGAGAAAGAAAGAAAAGTTTATTAGAGAATTATCATCACTTTGTCACGGACATCGCTTTGTTGTGGAACGAACTCACCAAGATTGCTATAATACCACTACAAGGCACTCCATAACAACACCGAAAAAGGCTGCATGCATTGTTAGAGCAACAACTTAGAAAGCAAATCCAACAAAGTATTATGTAGTGAGCATCTTATTTTTTTATTTAATCAATTAATTTAGTTTAATTTAATTCAAAAAACAATTTTTTAAAAAGTGAAATTTAACAAAGAAAGACAAAAAAAAAGACTCAAGATAACCTATGTTATTTTTTTAAAATAATAAAAAATCATATAGAAAGAAAATAAAAAACATATTAGAGTCAAATCTCTAATTAAATAAATGTTGATTGATGAAACTAAAAAAAATTAAGAAAATCTAGGCAAATTTCATAAACTTGGGTTAATATTTCAAGCTCGCAACCTATGAAATTATAGATTTGGACTCAATTAAAAAACTCAATTTTTACTAAATTTAATATTGAAGGATGAAATAAAAAAAATATCAATTTAAAATGTTTGTCAAGTTAAGAAAAAAATAATCAAAATAATAAGGATCAAATCTGATAAGAAAAAAACCAATGGAGGATGAAATCATAAAAAAAATTAATTTTAAAAATAATCTTAAATAAAATAAATAGCAATAAAAAAATAAGGATCAAATATGACTGATAAAAAAATTGTAGGATAAAATTAAATAAAGGTTCTAATTTTATAAATTATTTCAAATACTTCATATAGCAATATAAAAAAAGCAAGAACCAAATTTGAAGAAAAAATAAATTGAAGGATTACTTTGAAAATTTTGAAGGTTGTATGCTAAAATTAAAAAAAAAAAAGAAGGATAAGAAGAGAAGGTTGCTAATGCCAAATTAAAAGTTAGTAAGCTACACAATATCTAGGAATGAAGAGGTCACCGAGACAATTTCAACATCATTGTGAAAGACGACGTTAGGTTGATGGAATACGCCTCACATGTCGCTGAAAGAGAATGGGTGTCTCTCACTCGTTGGGTAGTTTTGTTCTTAAATTATATTTTATATTTATTAAAATACCAAATTACCCTTCTATAAACTTTATATAACTAAAAAAACCAAAATGAAAGTATGAAAAAACACTTCATCACTCGTTAAAGAATTTTTGTTTCTAAGAGTAATTTAGTTATTTTATTGTGCTTTTGAAAGATAAAAATACAAAAAACCCCTACACACTAATTAAATAATCATTTTATTATGCTTTTAAAATAAAAAAAAACTAATTTACCCTGTCAATCTAATAATGATTAATAAATACTGTGAAAAGATCATATTATTTTTAATAGCTAGTCCAATGATTTATGTTAATAAAAGAAAAATAATCATTATATTTTTTCAATTCAATGCAATGAGTTTATGTGTACTTTGAAACCTAGATCCTGTTTAGCTCTTTCTTTTTAAAAAATTTAATGCGGAAGTAATTAGTGTGAGGATATTTGTTTTCTATTTGCTTTAAATTCTTATTCTTTTTTTTTTCTTTCAACTTGTTTTTAACAATTAACTTTATATTTTATATAATTACGGAGTTTATGAATTATGGTTAACAAATCATATAAACTACAATATCACAACTTTCTTTCATATAAATAGTTTACATGTAACTATTTAACATTATTGTGATAAAACTCAGTTGAGAAAGCCCGGTTATAATTTAAGAGATAATATTTCTCAATTTTATTTTATTTAATAACAAATCAAAATATTTTATTGTAAGATAAATTAATAAATTAAAAGTTACGTTTTAATCGGATCAATTAAATCAATCAAAGGTTTTTTACTAAGTTAGATGAGTTTTCTTTCCTTCGACCTGAATCAATTCAAGCTCTTGAGTCAAACAAGTTCCAAGTCAGATAAATCCCTCAACTCACAAAGTTAGTTCAAGTTTTAGGTTATTTAATATTATTGTTCACTCAAGCTTTTAATTTTTATTTTAAATTAATTTTTTAAGTGTTTTTGAATTATTTTAATATACAATATCAAAACTAAAATTAAAAAAATAATATTATTTTAATATATTTTCAAATATTTTTTTAAAATAAATCTCTATCAAACTTGTTTTTTTTTTTTAAAAAAAAAAACTTCACAATAATGTTTGATAACCTACAAGCCTTTCCGGTTCAAGCCTCGTAGGCCCCAATTCTATCCTCTAACATATTAATACAACAAAACAATACGAATCACTTTTAAATATATACCAAATAATATAAGATATTTTAACTTCAAATTAAGTAAAGTTGAACGTTTTAAGTAACTGTATGTGTGTGTGCGGGGGTACCTCATGGTACCTCGTATAACGTCCATGTGCATATAGATTCGAAATATAGACTGAAATATATTTCTGAAACTTCGAGGATCAAATAAGTAGTTGCCTTAAACTATGAGGACACAACGTAGCAATCCTATAAAAATGCCGACCGACCGTGCGGCCACTGTCTTTCATCTTCAACCCAACAAAAAAAAATCAGGCTTCGAATATTTTGAGAAACTGAGAAAGAAAAAATGACAGTAAAGTTGGTGGATGCAAACATTTCAAGCTTTGGCAGTGTGTTTGAGAAATTCAAAGCAGAAGCACCCAAAAACAAAGTTAATCTCATCCTTTTCCTGGCTGATAATGACCCTTCTACCAATCTCAGTTGGTGCCCAGGTAAATGTTTTTTTTTTTCTGTTTTTTTTTGGAATTTATTTTCGTTTCTGGCTCGAAAATTACGACCCGTTACGTACTCCTTTGTGAAAGATATAATCCTTTTGATTTTATAAGTTTGAAGGTGTTTTTGTGATTGGTTTCAACATTTTTAAGTGCGGTCTTTGTGATTATTGCTGCCTTTTTTCTTTTTAAATGGAGTGAAAAGATTATATATTTAGGTTTTGGGAAATAGAGTCTTGTTTTCTTTAAAAAAACTAGTAATATTTTTTTAAAATAAATCTCTATCAAACCATTTTTTTAAAAAAAAAAACCTCACAATATTTTTT